GCATCAAATCGAATTCGCCATTCTACCCACAATAATTTAAATTTCGATTTTTAGAAATTCGATGCGATTCTTTTTGAAATGAACAAATATTTGGTAAAAGACATTTAAGTCTTATATTTTTGGTTTTATATATTAAAATGATAAATTTATTAGGTTTTATTAAATTTTATCGTCATTTCACGATATTTCTCATTATATAATCTATAACGATATCTGAACTAGTTTTTATCGAATTCATCTTTTTTGCATAAAATTCTTGATTTTCTGCTTTTTAATTCTCCGTTGATGAATTCACGTTCACTTATTCAGCTATGACAAGAAATCTTTCAATACGAACCTTAGAGAGTCCTTTACTTTTCATCATTCGAATTCTATTTAACGATGCCATTTTACTGGATTTCATAGAAAAAATTTTTCATGTGATTCGATACGTTCAAAAAGATCGGAATTGATAAGAAATTAAATGAAAACACTGAACAATAAAACGACAAGCGTTTTCATAGGATAGCATAGATCAAAAAATTTCATTCCCAAGGAGTGAAATTCGGTTCTACTGGAGAAAATTTTAATTTCAGTCTTTATGAGTATCGAAGAATTGCATTCTCTAAAAATTAACTTTTACAGCCTTAACACTGCTTATGAAAAGAAAGCATTTTACCGAAAATTTATAAGTAAAATATTCAATCGAATTTCAAGCAATCGATCGAATAGCGATAGAATAAATTGGAAAAGAATTTCTTAAAAATACTTAAATGCTTAAAAAATGCTTAAATTCATATGATTAATATTCAAAATTAAATTAAATACATAAAATGAAAAAAAAAAAATCCACATTTTGTGGTTATCGGTAGTTGATAAACATTTAATCTAATCTATTAACTTATATTAAGTTGTAATATTTTCAGCCGAAAAAGTGAAAAAAAATAAAGTTGATTTGATTGTAATTTGATTGTATTTGATATTAGTGGGATGATATCAGATACTTTAATCTGTAAGCGTTTAGCGGAGTCTTCTATTCTATTAATCTGGAATAAAAGCAAATGTAGTTCATCTCATCGGCAGGATGTTAAATGACAGGATCTTGCCGGAGGCGGAGGCCATGATACCTGAAATGCTGATTTATGCTACACATTCGGTCATACTGCCTCTAGTATCGCTCGTTGGTCGACAAAAATTTACTGATTGATAAAATATTATAATTAAATCGCCATTGTCGCTTATAATGTAATAAATTAGGCAAATATCTGCGTAATCCGTAATCTTTTTCCTAACGGCACCGATTCAACTTATCTAAGCCTGCATCAGATTCCAAAATTCCAAAATTAATAATTTCATTAGTTTAATATCAAAACGCTGATAAATTTTTTTAAATTTTTTAATTCATTACTAGTTGAGGAAGTGGCGATTTTAAAAACCTTGGGTTTTAATATGGAATCGCCAGTAGCTAGTAATACATTCTTCCTGTTGACAAAGCCTTCATGAAGCCGTCGCAAAATCACTATAAAAATGGAGGTCCGCGTATATACAAACTGCGATTCGCTCGACCTTGCTATATGGCATCGAAACATGACCAACAAGAGTGGACGATATTAAGAAGTTATCAACTTTGACCATCCATGTCTAAGATAAACTAATGAGTTCCACTGATCGGACAAGCTTGCATCCACTCACACGCTTCTCACACGTCTGCATCCACCTTCGCTCGTATACAACTCGCATTGGCAATACCATCACAGAGCGTCGCCGTTCTTCGTCAAAGAGTTGGAATTATTTCCTTATCTGCTAAACCTGTGATAAGTGACGTCAAAAGCGAGGTGGACCAATCAAGACATGGACTAACACAGTCAGGAAAGAACGTATAGCAACATATATGGACTGGGACAACGGAAAAAAGAACTGCGTCCATTACTGTCGACGATGGCATCGCAGCGCAGTTCGGAAAGTTTTTATATTTAAAAGTGTTGACTTAATCTCGCATGCATAAACCAGTTTTTGTTCGTTGTTTTGACTCTTTCAATTAAGCGCAATTTAAATGTAAACTTTTATAATATTTGTAAAATCTTCTGCGGCGAAAAAGGACGTTTTGGAAATCTGTGAGTCGACAATTGGCAATTATATTGACAATAATTAGGAGCATAGGCGAACGCTGATCTTTAAACAATAGAAATGATTACGGAATTTTTAGAGCGATAGATTTATGTTGGCCAGGGAGCTATTTTTCGCAAATCTTCCTTTCAAGTCGTTGAATTCCTACTTATATGACAATTGCCCACATGACAGGCTGAGACTACTTGAGCGTGGCATGCAACTCATTCTCAAGTATAAAACAATGGTCAACATTAATTGCAGAATTCATACTGTAATCAGAAGCCGCATTGTAGTCGCTACAAAGCTGAACGCTAGCAATTCCTACATCTCATACACTTTTTTATCGAGTTTTTGTTGCTTTTCAGCATTTTTTTTTGCATAACTGGTCAACAAAGATTTTTTCTCGTAGATTATTTTTTTGTTTGAAATTGAAGAGTTGTCCACGAATTTTTCTGGATAAAAGGCGGGGGATCTTTGATTTCCACGCGGAAAATTTGTTTTTTTATACATATTGGAAGCAAATAAAGTGAGAAAAAGAGAGAATTGGCAATGAATTTGATTTGAATTTGCCGTCAACTCCCTCAGCCAAAGGGATTTTGCGGAAAATCACAAAATCATGTGATAAATCCACTTTGAGGAACTTTCTTCTTCTTCTTCTTCTAGCAGCTCGCACCATTACTGGTTAGTTTGGCTCCAAGCGGCGCGGTCTGATGCCATCGTCGACAGTAATGGAAGCCATTCCTTTTTCCATCGTCCATATATTGCTGGTCCACCTATGCGTTAAAATCTATAAAATCTTAAAATAAAATAAATAAATAATAAATAACCTATAAAATCTTTTCTGACCGTATCAGTCCAGGTCTTGATTGGCCCACCTCGCTTTCGCCATCCATCGCACTTGCTTAGCAAGTAACGAAATATGCGACAACTGTTGTGGTGGTGGACGACGGAGAACGTCAGGCGACGCTCTGTGGTAACATTATTAATACAGGTAATGACTGAACGAAGGAGGATTGATTGATTGAGAGTGGATCGATCTGATATTTCATCCGCTCGACGGACCCATAAAATGCACTTTAGACAACGGCGATCGAAGGTAAATAATTTCTTAATATCCTCCACTCTCATTGGCCATGTCTAAGAGCCATATAGCAAGATCGAACGAATCACGGCTATATTGATGCAGACTTTTGTTTTAATGGTAATTTCACGACGGCTGCTTAAAGGTATCGTCAACCGGAAGAATACACGATTAAACACGATTAAATTTCTAGCTGTGATTCGGGCTATAATATCGTCTTTTGCCTGTCTATTTGGTATTAGAGGGAACCCAAGATATTTAAAGTCAGGCACTTCCTCGAAAAATTATCACAAGTTTGGGAAACATTCGCCACAATATATATCAAAATTTAATAATTGGAGAGAGAAATAAAAGAATTGATAAAAATTATCACAAGTTGTACCATATTTGCGAGGCTTCCTTCCCTGGCTGCTCTTGGCGAAGCTCGCTTACTTGGCTATAAGGATGAGATTTTTCATATTTCAATTATAATTCGATGTTGTTTCACAAAAAATCATTGTTTTCTGTTCATTTTCTTCGTTCTATTCCTTTTCAGATTTCTTATATGTGTATTAATAATAGGAAGAAAATCTGCCTTTACAGTTAATATAAGATTTTAAATGGAATTCCAGTTAATTGCAAATTTAAACATTAAAATAATTTAGATATATGTAGGCAAAGCAAGCAAAAGGTAGGTTAAAATATGCGGTTAGGGCTCACCAATTCTAATTCAATGCTTTCGCTAGCTATTGACGCGCTTAGAAATTTTAAAGCATTATTTCTGTAGGCAGTAGCAGCTGAGACCTCAATGCACTAATTCACGATTCACTTGGCCAAAGACGGAGCAAAAAGATGTTGTTAGGGAGGAGAAGGGAAGAAATTCGTTTGGGCGATATTCGAGGCCAAACTTATTTTGAACGAATTTCGTCGATATGGTATTATATTTTCTTAAATCTTTTTTTTTTTTATTACCTGTTTTCTTTCTTAAAATTTACGCTTTTTATTTTTTTTTGCTTTGCGATTTCTAAAAAGCCTCGAAGAATCATTCCTTAATTCCTTTAAAAAATCAAATAATTTTTTCTTTTCTGATTGGTAAATAAAAATTTTATTTGATTAAAATATAATTTTTCTCGGTATTTTTGAATATAAACATTGTTCAACTTTGTTTTACTTGCATAAATGTTTATCATTTTTTTCTTATTTAATTTGGCTTATTTTGCTCAGATCAACGAGGCCAAACGCTAAAATATTTAAGGCATAAAAAATGAAAATTTATAATTTTATTTGTGATTTTCAGGTAAATTAAATTATTTACGAAATTATTTGAACAATATTATTATACAAAAATCATATGAAAATGTTGCGATGATGAGGAATTTCGAACAAATTTTAGCTCATTTTCAGTCGCGTTATGTTGTCCTTTTCTTCAAGATTATTTTTCTCATTTGTTTCTTGGGAACAGTGGTAATATTTAATATTTCCTTATTTCCTTATAACTTACCATTTTGCTTTTATAATGACTTTAGGATTTATTCTATTTTCCGAGAATCTAGTCTGGCGGTTCGTTGAATTTTTTTCCTTTTCGAAATTTTATAAAAAATTATATAAAAAATTAATATAAAATTCAATTAATTTAAAAATTTAGCTCATTACCAGTTCATTTAAAAATTGAGAAGAAATTTTAGCGCTAAAATTTTGGAAAATTTTCAAAAAATTTTTTAAATTTTGTATTTAAATTTTAATTATTTGTATTAAAAGTGGAAAATTTAAGGAAGAATAATAGATTAGGGTATTATTTATTAAAAATTCATATTTTATTCAAAGTATTGAGAAATTTCTTTGCCTTTAGGTAATGGTTTATCTCGTATCATTTGAACCTGCTATTATTGTTGACCTAAATTATGGAAGAATATCAAAAAATTTCGATTCTGGAATTCTACTGGATGTTGCTTGCTCACCACTATCGAAAATCTGCTACAATGTTTATGATATCATTGAATCATCTAAGTTAATTTGATTTTTTTTTGCCTTTTTTATCGTCTTCATTGCCTTTAAAAGTGAATTTTCATTTTTAATTACCTGTAAAAAACAATTATTAAAACTCAGATTTTTTGAACTGGACATTTTTTTCAGCACTAAAAGTGGAATTCGCGTTTTGGGCCTTAAAGACAGTCAGAAAGGTTTTGAAACAATGGTTCCATTAATTGCGCCGAAGAGTTGGTTGAATTTTTAACCTAAAGTACCATCATTATTGAATTAAAATAATATCCTCTTAAGTGAATCATTTTATAGATGCGAATTCCGCGTATTCTGATACTCGGATATGGAAGATCGATCACAGCCATCTTAAATTGCAGTACACTGCTTCACTGATAACTGCATCTTTCGTAACTTCATCACTACCTTATTTGTTGGGGACTGCAATGGAAGGGAAAATGATACTAATTGGCTTAGGTGGAGGAAGTTTAAACTCTTTTTTGGCTACTCGTTTTCCGAAGGTTGGATTTCTTTCATTTCATTAAGAAATTTATATGAAATAATTTTGATAAATCATACTTGAAATTTTGATTCTTTGCATTTTTATAATCTAATAGTGATGACTTTACTTTTCGCTAAAAAAAATACTATGCTGGGTTTCTTTCGGTCGATATAACCAGTTTGGAATATGATCCGTTACTTGTGGAACTAGCACAAAAATGGTTCGATTTAAGGACAACTAAAAATCATAAAGTATATGTCATGGATGGAGTTACTTTCTTGAAAGCTGTTTTGAAAAGAGGTTTACTTCTCAGCTAGTAAAAAAATTCCTACTGTTCTCTAAATTTTTGAGTTTTTTATGAGATAGGTAGTTTCGCCTGAAAAACAAAGTTATTTTCTTTGTCTTTCTCACTTAATGATTTTTTAGGTGAACTATTGAATGTAGGATTTTAGGTGAACGTTATGACACGATTATTATCGATGCTTGCTCTAATAATTCTATTTTGCCTTGTCCTTCTGAGCAATTTGCAAACAATAATTTTATTGAATTACTTTCAAAGTATCTTATGAAGCCTTCAGGTTATTTAAAAATTAATTTCCTAAATATACTTTACTTTAACTTGATTTTTTAAATATATTTTCATTTTGCGATATTTTTATATTCATATTTATGTTTCAATATTCATGTAAACGTCATTTGCTTCATTGTAAATGACAATTTATTGATAAATTTATTATTTATTATAAATTAAATTTTTCGTCATCTAAACCTTGTAATTATCGCCTTTGAAATGCAAAAGTCACAGAATATAACACATTAGTGTTTTTTTTACAGGTAGCCTTGTGGTTAATATTCTAAATCTCAGTAATGATGATAGTCACCACGATATGGTTTGTTTTCTTTGAAGTAGTTTTAGGCACTTAACGCTTCATTTTTTTTTTCATTTTCATTTTAGATGCCCTTTTTTCAAAAAAGCGAATTTGCACTTTTTTCCATGGTAAACCGTCTTCACATTTGTTTAATTTCTTAATTTCTTTTTCAGATTGTTGCTGCATTTCGAAAGCACTTTCGCAGTTGCGTCACTATTCGTTTAAAACAGGAGTTGAATATTATATTAACTTGTGTATTATATAATTTAGATGATTTGCCTGCAAAATATGGTAATGATTTCGCGAAACGTTTTGAAAAAATTTGGCATTATTTTGGATTTTCATTAGAATCAACTTTTCAAGATCCAATATTAGAAAACAATTAGATTTTGCGCCAAATCAAGCTATTTTTTTTTGTTAATTTTTATCGGTTTTTATTTTTATCGGTTTTCTAGCTATTTTTATATTGCTTAAAAACATAATTTAAAAACATTTTTAAAAACATTTTTTGAAAAATAGTGCCATATATCTGTTCTCTTTCTATATTTGTAACTGAATGCAATTAGTTAGGATTAGGAAAAAGCCAATTTCTCAACCTTACCTTCTCAACCTTAAAGGTAAGGCAAGGTAAAGGGAAGAAAAAAAATGAGAAATTGGACGATGCGGTTTTTCTTGTTTATTTTATTCTCTTCTCTGTTCTTGAATAAATACGGTTCGGATAATTTGTAACAGCACTAATTGTTTATATTTTTTTACGAAATTTCCAGTTTCTACTGGTTTTGTCTATTATAATCAAATGATTTATAATAATTTTTCTTGAATTCTTTATTTCTTTATTTGGTAATAATCGTTTATCTTTTATCACCATTAATGAATTTATTGAATATTAAGTTTTTGCTGATAATAAGTAATTTAAGCAGTTTATTCTGGTAATATTATTAGCTAATATTTTATTTCATAAGCTATTTAATTAATCAGTTACATCTAATTAATATAATTGGTTAATTTTTAAATAATATTTGTCGTTTATCGGCTTAAAAAGAAAGATGAATAGAAAGCAGAGATAATTTATGATGAGGATATACTACAAATTATACAGATCTCTGGCATCGGGCTAATTGAGCGAAAAGCAGGGAATTCAAAGTCCTTGGTCTCGACACGAAATTAAACATACTTTAACATTTTATTAGTTTTTTCGGTTTTAATTTATGATTGCGTGATCACTTTATATAGATGAAAAATGAGCGGTTGAGATGTATTTCAGTATTGAGAGAATTTAGTTTAGTCTCTGTTCAATTTCCCTTTTAAATTTTTCTTGGTTTTAGACTTGTTCTTTTCTGTTCACTTCGACAAAATTTGTTTTAAATTTTCTCTTTTCTGATTTTATCTTTTTGGCTTTTTATTGAATATTCTAGGCGAATGGAACTAGCAGCCCACTGCATTTAAGTTATCCAGGCCGTTTCAGGCGAGTGGAACTAGCACCCTGTTGCAATTAAACTAACCAGGCCATTGCGAGTTGGTAAAAAAAACTGAAAAAATTTCTTTCTCCAATTAGTCATTAAAAATTGCGAAATTAGACAACAAGTTTTCTCTTTTCAGAGTAAATTGTCGTACGCCATTACATAAACTTAGCACCTTAGATCCAGAGATCTTGCAGATTGGAGCCCTAACTTTTTAAGCTTTCTTGACCAATGAGTGTATCTCCAATGATTGAACAAATTTTTACTAATTTTAAATATAGTTTGCTTAAATTTTAAATAAGTCATAAAATACTATAAATTGTTTAAACAAAAAAGGTGTTACTTCCATTTATAAAAAGAGAAGACTGTCAGGCTAGACTTCGAACCGTTTGTGAGTAAACCATTGTAAATGAAATTCTATATATTTTGTGGATATATTTTTATAATATTTAGTACTGACAGAATAGAATAGTATTAATGAGAAAAGCTGTAGTCTTTGAATTTATGTTACGCGAATCTTTGAAATTCATTGTTTTCTTCACTGAATATTTTTATTGCTATTTATCAGATATCAGATATTTACTTCCATTATTAATTGTTTAATTTGTTCAATGGTATTTCTAAATTATATAATTTACAATGAGTTTAATTGATGTTTCAGAAAAGAAAAATGATAGAATTATTTACAATATTTGGCAAAGGTGGTATTGTACTGTGGTGTTTTCAAGAAGGAAGTCAGTTATATAGAGATACGATAAATCAATTTATAAAAGAAGTTCTTATGCAGGTTTGTTTCTTCTTTTATTTTCGTGAAATAAACAGGTCAGTGTTAATGCTAAATGTTGCTATTAGTAACAAACGGTTGGCCATAAGAAAAATAATTTTTATTTTGTTCTATCCAAATTTAAATTTATCTCAGTTTATTTTAACTTAGTTTATTTCATTTTTTTTACGGATTTTTGGATTTATTTAAAAAATTGGATTGAATTTTTTTTTTGTTAGGAACGCGTAAATAGTTCAGTTTTCAAGTATAACAATGTGATGATGAAGTATAGATTGGATAATGAATTTGAACTGGTTTTTCTCGTAAGGTTTTTCATTATTATTGTTATTTTAAAGAATAATTTAAAGAATAAAGAAATACTTGGAAATAGAAATGTTTGGGTTAAATTTTTAAAAAACTGAAATAATGAAATATTATTCATCGCATTTTTGGATTTTTTTATTTTCATTGTTTGCCTTTGTCGTATTTTTTGTCCTGAAAAATAACTTTAAATTATTAAGAATTTTAATTTTCGAAATGTTTTTCAAGGTAAAATATCGCCGTTAATAAATGGAAAACACTGATTGCAAGTTTGCTGGATATATTTTTATTTTTCGATTATCTATACTTTTTTTTTAATTGTTGAATAACTTTTCTTTGCAGATAGTATATCAAAGTGCTATACAATTATCGTATGGTGATCAACTCTTGACAGATGTCCATAGAAAGTTTCGTGATATGTATAAGAACGTCCTTTCAGACAATAAATTACTGTTTGGATATACAAATCGAATGTTTGATGGTTTCAGAGAGTATTTTAAAAAGTTATTTTCAGAAAAATTTATTTTTTCATCGTTTTAAATTGTATTTTCTAAAGAAAGAACTTTTTATATAACTTTCGTCCCAATTCTAATTATTTTTAAATATTCTTTTCAGTAAATTCTCATTTAATTAAATTTGCTGAAATCGTTGTATTTTTTTAAGGATATATATGGAGCTACAGAAATCATCCTTTGTTAAGCCTGAAAAAATAATGCGAAAATTTGAAGTTAGTTATTTCTTTCTGCAATATAATTTCTTTAGCTATTATTTTATTGTATTATTGGCTTTATTGTATTAATGGCTTTTGTTGTTAATATGATTTTATATATTTAAATAATATAATATTATAATATTATATATTATAAATAAATAGATATTTTCATGATTTAGGAAAGTGATAAGTCCAAAAAAACTGTTGCATCAATGTTGGAGCGACCATCTGATCGAGGCGTTAAACAACAAATTAAAGAAAAAGAATTAAAGTCAAAAATGATGCAGCAGCAATTCAGTGGTCATTCTCCTATTAATATTCAAAAAAAGTATTTCTTAATTGGCATTATTTTGCTTCTTACGAAAGGGTTAAGTAAAATTAAGCTTAATGTTGAGAACGGTTTGGAAGATTTGAACGATTTATTGCTGTTGAGATTGCCTTGCTGCATTTGACTTTTTTATTTTAAAAGCTTTTACGTAGTTCCTTTTTTCACAAGCATTCATTTAAATCCCCAACTAAATGAACTGAATGAATTTTTAAGTATTTTTCATAATTAAACCAAGAATATTACAGCAACATTAATGAGATAGTGGGGTCTCCGCAATCGTCTCCGAAGGCTGATTTAGATGATGGAGAAATTCGGCGAAAACGGGCTGAGTTTTTCAAGAAAAAAGGTGGAAAAAAGTTAGTCAGCTGTTTATTTTCTGTAAAATGAAATAAAATTATGAAGATGAACCTTTTATTTTTATTTCTTTATTAATTTTATTGTATAGGGCTTCTGAGACAGAAAAATCATCCTTGGTTGATATAAAGAAGGGAAAAAAGGCACGAACTTGGGGCGTATTGCATAATGGAAATGTTGCTGATGCACAGGTTCTAGATTACAGTGAAACGAATGAAAAAGCTTCAGTTGTAGAGGAAGATCGTAAATTTCTAGAAGAGCAAGTATGTTTTATTTTCGTCTTCATTTACAATTATCCAGATTTTCAAGGCTGTTCCAAGGATTTTATAAGAGATTTTTACAATAAGGACAAATTTTATTTATTATAGAAGCAGTTTGTTGGCCAAATGAAAGGTGAATTACCAGGCCTTGATCAGAATCAAAATTTGGATCAGAATCAGGAAGAAAATTTGAATGGGTTTGTTTTTTTTTCGCTATTAATTATGAAAAATTTATATTCTTATGCATTTTTTCTGAAACTTTTATAAGCAAATTTATTCTAGTTATTTTTTATTCGTTCCTTTTTCTTTAATTATATTAGATTACCATTTTTCATTATAAGGTAATATTTAAATTTTATTGACCCCTCTAACTTTGCTTTCTTACCATTCACATTTTTTAAATCAGGTATATTTTAGTTCATATGAATTTATTTCAGGCAAGATGAAGTAAAAAGTGAAAATGATGGATGGTTTTCAGCTTTTAAATCTCTTGTTGGTAATAAAAAACTGACTAGCAAAGATATCGGACCTGTCGTAGATCGTATGCGGGAAAATCTATTTGGTTGTTTTTTGATGAATTATCGTCATTTTTTATTTCATTAGTTCATTGTAAAATTTTATTGTTAAGTTTTTATGTTTCAACGAAATTATTCCCAACATTGACCTGGTGCACGCATTGAAATAGGCATGCTTTTTGCGAATAATTATGCTTTCCTCGTAAAAGTGCTAGAATCCTCATTTCATTTATTTGAACCAATGTTTCACTTCATCACTTTTGTTCTGGTACTAGATTTCTACTACTATATTTATTGTATGTAAATCATTCAACAATTTACACACATATAATACAGTCTAAAGATGTATATTTCCGAATATGAAATAAATTTATAGTAGAAGATATTTTTTTCAGCGAAAAATGTTGCAGCGGCAGCTGCGGAAAAATTGTGTGATTCTGTGGCTGCAAAATTGGAAGGAAAAGTAGTCGGAACATTCAGCCTGGTGACAAGCATAATTCGTGAGTCATTTCGCGAAGCACTTACGCAGGTAATTTTTATATGGTTATTGTAGTTCTGTTTTTTAATAGTTATTTTTTGATATATTTCTTAATCTATTTCTTAGCCTTATTTCTAACTTCTTAGCTAGATTTCAAGTTACATTTTTATTTTTCTGGGAAAATGATCTCATGTTATCGTAATGGCATTGGAACATTTGCAATTGCTATCAAATTAAGCATATAATTAATCTGCGTGGACTTCTTATAATAAATATGCAGTGTGTAGTGTTCCAACGTACCTTTAAAAATAGTTTATGATTCGTTAATTGGGATCAGTTTTTATCCTTTTTTGACGACTTCAGTGTTTCTTTTTTACCAGAAAGCAGAAGTGGTATATAAATGGTATATAAGCAAGAATTGATACTTTTTGCAGAAATTGCATTTTATCTGGGGAAACTGGTTGCAGAAACTTCTTGGCTCCTTGAAGGGATAGAATTTGCAGTTTGAATAAGGATACGAAAAGTTTAATAAGGTGAAAGGAATATGTGCTTGATTTGATAAACTTACTTGCATATATGAAAGGGCAGGGGTCATGTAATTTTATTAAAAAAGTAAGGAGTTGTTGATTACAATAGTTTTAGATTCTTACTCCCAAACGCCGTGTAGATATCCTTCGTGATATTATTGAAGCAAAAAATGAAAACAGGCCTTATGTTGTAATATTTTGTGGTGTAAATGGTGTTGGGAAATCAACAAATCTTGCCAAAATAACGTTTTGGCTTAATGAGAATGGTTACTAACTTTCGAAAATTATTTAACAGTTTCTTATCTACTGTAATATATATATATATATATATATATATAAAGTATATATAAAATATATAAATTATGAATAAATTATAAATTAAATCAATTAAACTGTATTAAAAATATATATATATTTTTAAATTAAATTGCCTTTTTCTTTTTTATTTTTTTAAAATTTCATTGTCTATTTTATTTTTTTTTTTAAATTTAATTTTATCTTTGGCAAGAGTAAACCTGCCATTATGTCAAAAATCCGGTTGCTGGGTCAAAATCCGATTGTATACTTATCGCATGTACCACCTGTATCCCCAAATGACTCTGTGGTTAAGAGGTCAGATGTTTTTGATACGACGTCCACGTTTCCCGACGCGCATGATATTCCCAATCTAGTGGTACATGCGATAAGTATACAATCCGGGCTTAAAGCGATTCCAAGGCTGGTAAATAAAATGTGCTCACAAGCCACTGTAATTGCTCGAAAACTATCAAGGAGAACAGCTTTCTGCACAAGTGGCGAGGTTTTGGCCGTATCAGCGTGGAACATCAGAACGCTTATGGATGTCGCAAGCTAAGCGATCACTGTCCACACTCTTTCTTATTGTCGTATGAATATAGCTTGTTTGTCGGAAGTCCGTCTTCCTCATTTCGGATCTCGAGTGATTATTAATCCTGGCTTGGAGCAGAGATACTGGCTATATCACTGTGGTGCTTCGAATAACTCGGGACGAAATGGCGTAGCGATTGTTATGTCTGACAAGGCCCATTCCGCTTTGATTGAGTGGAAATCGGTAAACGACCGTATGGCGTATGGTATGTCTGTTTTAAGGGAAAGTTCTGGAATATCTCGGTCATCAGTGTCTACGCTCAAACTCTGTCGGTAGATGACCGTGATAAAGATAAATTCTATGCGGAACTTCAACTGCTAACAAAGTCTCCACGGAAACATGACATGATCATAATAGAGGGAGACTGGAATGTTCGCGTAGACTACAATGCACCTCAACAATTGGCAAATATGGCATCGAAGACCAGTGTGCCAATGGGGAACGTCTTCTTCGTTATGCCGAAGAGCATGAATTTTTTATTACTAATGCTTGCTTCCGGCATCATAGAAAACATTTAGCCACGTGGAACTTCCTGGACAACCAACATTTCAACCAGATTAATTATATCAGCCGTTGGAAGAATTCCGTACTAGATAGCCGTTCCTACCGTGGTGCTGAAACGGGCGATCTTCATGGATCTGCCCATGTTGTGGTTCGAGCCAAGATCAGCATAAAACTGACAATTCGCAGAAAATAACATTCCCTAAGATCCTTCAACTACCTCAAACTAAAAAATTCGGGGACAGTGAGCATATTTCAAACCGAATTATTGAAGCATCTCAATGATGCAAATATCAGTGATTTTTCTGGAACGGCAAATGAATACTAGTCTAAGCTAAAGGAATGTCTCCGAAAATCAGCCACTTCCAAGCTAGGGCATACTAGTAGGAAGTACGCTAGTTGGGTATCGGAAGCAACTGTCCAATTGTGCTTTGGTGTTGCCAAAGCACGAATGTCAGGTGATCCTGACTACTGGGTATTTCGAAGATTTGCAACGAAAGCAGCAAGGCGAGACAGAAATCACTATTGGAGTGACATGGCCTCAAGAATGGAGGCGGGGCTCGATTAGGCGACAGTAGGAAACTAACAAAGTCTCCACGGAAACATGACATGATCATAATAGAGGGAGACTGGAATGTTCGCGTAGACTACAATGCACCTCATTCTGCCTTCTTTACAAAGCAACTATGACTCGGGGAACGATCAATGAAATGGTAAGAGACAGCAATGGCAGTACTGATCAAAAGTATTAAGGATCGCCTCATAAGATGGAAAGAATTCTTTGAGGCCAAACTTAACCATGAAGCACCATCTGTTGCCCCAGATATAGCCGATACGTTTGCCGAAGCATTATGCTTGCAATTGCGAGTCTTCAACAGGAGAAGAAATAATTTCAGTTATTCATAAGCTTAAGGCCACTAAAACTCCAGGAGAAGATAATCTTCGGGCTGAGTTTTTTTTCTTCATTTCTTTTCAAGTGGTGTCCATCGTTCTTCATAACGCACCTTCAATAAATATACTATCTAGTATGCGAAAAAGAAATATTACCAGATGATTGCAGCAAAGCAATTCTGCTCCCAATTCTCAAGAAAGGTGATAGGATATACTGAGACAATTATCGAGGAATCAGCCTAGTAGACGTCTCAGCAAAAATTTTTGCTTCCCTGCTACTCAACAGACTTATGGAAGTACGGTAGAGCAGGATGCGCTCTAATCAAGCTGGTTTCAGACCAGGGCACCGTTGTGCTGACCTATTCACATTAAGAAAGGTGTTGGAATATCGCTTCAAATATTAGCAACCCATTGTCAGGTATTTCATCGACTTTCCGGCTGCCTTTGATTCAATTGATAGAACGGCGCTTTGGAGGGTGATGGAATGCGACGGTGTTCCAGAGAAGATCATTCGACTCATAAAAGCATTTTATGAGCGTACGTCGGCGCAGGTCTATATATATATGGGGGACTGACAGATTCCTTCGAGATAAAAATTGTGTCAAGGCTGCATTTTTTCTCCTACAATATTCATCTATGCGATAGACTAGGTAATGGAAACTGCTTGTCGGCACTCAAAGGGTGTCCAAATCACTCCTGAGCATCGTATCATATATCTTGAATACACTAATGATGTAGTCTTTTTTGCTGAGTTATAGTGAAATACAAGTAATACTAAATAAGAAACTGCAGCAAGAATCGAACTCAGGTTCAATGTAAATAAAACGAAAGTCTTTTCGTCTTATGTGCGAGATGCTGATAAAATGCTTCTTTTTCGTAAATTTATTTTGTTGAAGAAGTGCCTGATGTGCCTGATTTCAAATACCTTGGGTCCACTCTAATACCAAATGGACAGACAAAAGATTTTGAACGTATAGGTGGACCAGCAACATATGGACTTAGACGATGGAAAAAGGAATAGCTTCTATTACTGTCGACGATGGCATCAGACCGCGCTGTTTAAAGCGTCTTACCCTTATAGCCGTTGGAGCTAGCCTAAATAATAATGATGAGAGCTATTAGAAGAAGTAAAATATATACTTTTCTCATATTTCTCTTGTTTTTTAGGACACCGTGTTTTGATTGCCGCTGGTGATACTTTTCGAGCTGGAGCAGTTGAGCAACTGCGTACTCATACTAAGCATCTAAATGCTCTTCATCCGAATAGTGTTCAGTTGTATGAACAAGGATACGGCAAAGATCCTGCTGGTTTGACTGCTGCAGCTATTGCGATTGGTTATTTTTTATGATTGAGATTTTTTTACGATTATTCGATTCATCTATTCGATTTCAGCAGCTGAGCGTAAAATTGATGTAGTGCTGGTAGATACTGCAGGAAGAATGCAAGACAATGAGCCCCTTATGCGTTCTCTTGTTAAGGTTCTTTAATCCATATATTATTAAAATAAGAGCTGATAGAGAACCAAAAATTGATGGTTATCATTGACAAGATTTTTAAATGTTTTGGGGAATTTTTATAAATTTTAATTTTTGAAATTTTGTAATTTTTTGAGAATTTATATCTGAATATTAGCGATTGGAATTTGATCAAAATATTTGAGACGAGAAGAAATAAATCAATAAATTTTTCAATTGTTTTTTTACAGCAAATACGTATTAATAAGCCAGACTTAGTATTATTCGTTGGTGAAGCACTTGTTGGTAACGAAGCTGTTGATCAATTAGTTAAATTCAACCAAGCGTTAGCAGATTTTGCTTCTGTAGACAGTGAAGTAAGACTCATCGATGGCATTATTTTGACCAAGTTTGACACGATCGATGATAAGGTAGATTTATTTCATTTTTTTGAAATTATAGTTTCAATTTTCAATAAGTATATTATACACATATTTTATCAAAAGTTAAAATCATCTGAAAAAAAATATGTTGTTAAAGTATTTTTTCCTGATTTGCGAGTGATAATTGGTGGTTCACTTTTATTTTTTTAAAATTTTCAAGTTATCAATGTTATCATAATAGTATTAATCTTTAGGTTTTGTTCTGTAGTATTTCGAATCAAAGGTAGATCCATCAAAGGTACCTAGTGTTGATTTAAATTTGAAAATTTTTATCGTTTATGGTCAAAAAAGTTTTTTAGTTCACTAAATCATTTTTGTTTTTTATCAATTTGATTTATAAAAATTTGAACTTTTCTTTTCAGAAGGATGATTTTAAATAAAGAAATTACGGAATCAAAATTTTTTTCTTTTTAATTTTTATCATTTTGTATGTATAATTTTTAACTTTTTATATATTTTTTTAACTGTTACTAAATAGTGGATTTTCCCGCGAAATCGTCAGTTATCGAATTGCAGTGCTTAAGGATACGAAGAATATTCTAAAGATGTTTGCGTTTATGGATTTTTGAGGACAATGGCACCAAAAATCTAGATTTCATTACTGAGATTTTCCAGTTTTTTTAAAAGCTGGATATTTGTTCAGGAAAAGGTTTAAGAAATATATCATTTTATTTCAGGTTGGTGCAGCTGTGTCAATGACTTATATAACTGGTCAGCCAATTGTATTTGTTGGCACTGGGCAGACCTACAAAGATTTAAAAAGTCTTAACATCAATGCTGTCGTCAACTCTTTACTGAAATAATGTCAACATATTTAGAGAAATAGTTTATTCTATTTTTATTTTCCTAAAAATTTTGAATTTCCAGAAGCGATCGAGTTAATTTTTTTTTATAGTAATTTTTCGTTTTTTGAAAAGTTTTCTGGTCAATTCATCAATTGTGATATAGAAAATTAAAATTAGGTAATTTTTTGAAGTATCTCTTATTTCATATAGTCTATTTAACTATAGTGGATTAATTATTTCATGCATGAATTCTGCAGGCTGTATAAAAATTTACAAGTTTTATTTTGTGTCTTACTGTTCTTTTATTGGTGGTGCGGAAAAGGTAAACAAATTGCCTTATACCGGTTCCATCAAGTGATTACTGGAATATGAATGTTCATAATTGATTAATTTCATCTGTATTTACATTATTAAACGATAATTGCTTATCATATACATATTAAACATTTTTTAAATTTTTCTCTCGTTTGAGTTTGTGGCGATTTCTCTTTGAAAAAAAACATTCATTGAATTTGAATTGAATTTTATGAAAAATAATAATGGTAATGAACAAAAATATATGTTGTTATCGACCTTTTTTAAAAAAAGGGCTTGATGTTTTTTTGATATTTTGTTGAGATGAGAGAATAGATATTTTAGTTTTATCAGTAAAGTACTTTATGCCGTTGTATTTCTTTTCTTGGCCATTTTTTGCTTCTTTTCTGTTATATATGATATATGAGTTGTCGCATTATGTTTGTATTTTTTACGATTCATGATATCGGTTGTGTTTAAATGGTGTTCTATTTTCCTCAAATAAGGAATACCTGGAAAGGTGTTGTGGGCAACGTCCGTCTATGGTAAAATCATTGCAATTTTTTTAGTAATATGGTAATATTTTTTTAATATTTTTTAGTAATATTTTAAATATATTAAATAGTAAATAGTAATTTATTTTTTCAATTCAGTGGGTTAATAGGGCCATTTTATATAATTCTAAGTTATTCGGCTTATTTGTTTCCTAAAACATTAAAAATTTGGTAATCGTAGTTAACTATTTTGATTTGACATTTGATTCATTCGTCTAATTTATGATCGTTTCCTATTATTTATATTTTTTCCCTCGTTTTTCTTTTTCATCCACGTCGTTCATTTTGGTTTTATGTAAATTTCTCGCCCAGCTTCTTTGTAAATTTTTTTTTTTTTTGATGGATAACCGTTGTTTATTGCGATGTTCATAAAATCACAGTTAAATAGATCTTTTCATATATTTCATAATCCAACTGTCTTTTTTCAAGTGTAGTTCACCTATTGGTTTACAAACCAGTTGGGTTGTGTTGTAGTTCTTCGTCGAATGATATAAATATTTAGGTGTGGAGAATTTAAATAAATTTGTAAATAAATATGTAATGAATCGGAATTGTCTAGAGAATTCTATGTTATGAAATCCTCGGTAAGATTATTCTCGAATAATTACTCTGTTTTTTTAAATACTTGATTTAATGAAATGGTAATTATATGAGAAATTATATAAATTGAGAGGAAACAAAAATTCATGAATTTTTCATGTTCTTTTATTAGAAAAAAGATTGTAAAATTATAAATATTAGTGCAGTTATTACGGGAGAGGGTTCAGTGAATTATGGAACAGTTGATAATGCCTATAAATTGCAAATTGACAACATTATCAGAAGATTGCTCTGTTGTATGCTTAGATTTAAAAAAAGCCAGTTCGCTCTTCGAGGTGGTCTGAACCCGTTTACAAAATTTACTATGAAGGAATGAAAGAATTGAATGAGAATAGTTTTTCGAGAAATTTTATAGGAATTTATTTATGGAAAGTTTCATCCACAAAAAAATGCCTCGATTTTATTTTCTAAAAGCATGGAGAATTTGGATTTCTTTGCCAAAAAATTAAATATTTTACATTTTTTATATATTAACATTTTATCTTTTACATTTTCAGTAGGTTCAACAGTTCTTACTTTCTTACTTTTACAGTTCTTTCCTTATTTGTATTTTAGGGCAATTTTTTTGGCAGATTTCAAAAAGTTTGTCTTAAAAATTCCTTTTTTTTGCAATTTAAATTATTATTTTTCTTATTTTTTAGATTTATTATCATTCTAAGTATAAATAAAATTCGACGATTCTCTTTCTCTTTTCATCATTCCTTTAAACAATTGAAGAAGATGAAGAAGAATGAGGAAATAACTTTTTTCGTTCGGAATAAACTGGCTTTTTAATAAAGAAAAATGAATTGTATATGAATTTTACGATGCTTTATTTTCATTAGAATTGAAATAATTGCAAAAAAAGAAAATGGAAGAGAATAAAACTTTAAATAATAAAAGAACCGTACAACCGAAAAAGAAGAAACATTCAAATGGTGAAATCGTTCATCGAATTTTTTGTAAAATTTTGGGAAATCATTTTCATTTCTAAGCTATCAATTTTGAACTATCAACGCCCATTAATTTTTAAAAAATCGCGTTAAATTCTCATGTTTTTAGATGCAACAAATTTTACAAATAAATATATATATAAACACCACTAGAAGGAAGCAGAAAAACGGCAGTTTTTCATAGTTTGCAGCTATAAGCATTGGAATATTTAGTAACCAGGAGCGGTTCGTGGAAGTGGACAATGGTCGCATCCACCAGCTCCTCCTTGTTCTCCATCTGCTCCTCTCTCTCCGTCGCCTCCTGGTTTTCCAGGTGATCCGGGTTTCCCGCTGTCACCAGGTGGTCCTTCGGGTCCAGCAGATCCGGACGAACCGTTTTCGCCAGGAAGGCCATCTTGTCCAGGTTGGCCAGGTGGCCCTGGAGGTCCTGGAGGTCCATCGGGTGCAGGAATTTCATTAGTGACGCCAGCAGGCCCCTCCGCTCCTTTTTCGCCTGGTGGACCTGGTGGGCCGGGTGGGCCCTCCAATCCAGGTTCTCCTGGTGCTCCAGCCTGCCCATCTGCACCATTAGTTCCGGGCGGGCCTGCGTTGCCTGGCTGTCCTTTTGGTCCTTCGATCCCAGGAGGCCCAGCTGGTGAATCTTCGCATTCGTAGCATGGTTCAAATGCCGGAGCAGGAATCGGGGGTGGAGCATCCGGTCCATCTTTGCCGGGAGGTCCTTGCTCTCCGTCTTCTCCGTCTTTTCCATCAAGTCCTGGCGGCCCAGGTGGTCCTTGTGTAGAAACTCCACAGCCGCAACATACTCCTGTGGGAAAAGAACTTGGTCTTCCTTCTATAGCAATATCAGATGTTCCATAGCCTACTTGACGAGATTGCCGAGCTCCGCTGTTCACTGTCGCAAGTACCTGAAACCGGGAAAGACATCATTAATTCATATTTACTTACTTTTCTTACTTACTTTGCGATAGATAAGATCGTTTGGAGCTATTTTTCCCCCACTAAACCTCGGAAATGGCTTATTAGGAAATTTGATAAACGAATTCTTGAGGGAATTATATAGGTCGCAGTGCTATCAATTAATAATAAATTTGATAAAACTTCATAAACTTCATTCCATTTTAGCAAGAAAGTGAAAAACCTGTGTGCGTGTTACTTCTCGCCATATATTACCAGATCTAGATTTGCAGAAATCAACTTCGCTTTGCATCACCGATTGCATTCGTTGCATATAATTGTATAACAGTGGCACTGAGATCACACTCACTAGAGTGGCAAACGTTGAAAGTGATACGCCTAGAAAAGCCACCCGTCTTAGGCTACTACATTCCTTCTCCCGGCTTTCCTTCTCATACATGGTCTAAATAAATTCGTTTTGATACTTTAATCACATTAAGCAAATAATTCGAGATATAAATGATATATTTTCCTACCTTAACGTATCACATTTTTATGCATAAAATAATAAACTGTTTTCTATGTTCATGAAAGATGGCAAGAAAATGCTTCATTCAGGAAATAGTGACAAAACAAAGCAGCAAATCAGCAAACAAAAAGCAAAAACATTTATGCAAAAACTTAATTAATTTATGGGAATAAAACTCCAAAAAAACAATTCACATAAAAACCAGTGAATGCGAATGTGGTTTTCACTAATTTCAAGCGAACTTTACATAAAATGATAAAATTAACCGAATAAACTGGTTGAAATGATTAAATGACTAATGATGGAATGATTAAATTATAGTAATATTATATAGTTGGCGCAAGTTGAAAAAAGTATAAGTATAAAGTATGAAAAGTTAAAAAATAATTCACTCAGACCCATCAAATTGTTTGTGAATTAGTCAATTAAAATGTTAAAATATGTGGGTTAGGGTTGTTTAAGTCGTTTGTTTTTGATCGTATTTGTGGTAGAATTAATATTAAAATCATAAAAACGTCGTCAAAACGATACTGAACAAGTTAACGCTTGCGACATACTGGAAATTTCAGGCATATAAAATGAATATTTAAAATATATTTAATGTTTAAAATATGTATAAAAAATTAACCACCAAGTATTCTTTAAATATTCTCCCGGGAACTTCAAGGCTTTTGATTCTGATCGACAAAACACTATGTTGAAACAAAAAATGTGCTAGATGGAATCATGCGTAAAATGACAATGACAACAATGGGGAGTCATATTAGGTTTCCAGGTCAGTTATGATAAAAAATCCAAGAGATTTGCCCCTTCTAAAGAGTTCAAATTCTTACGTATTTTGTGAAATTCGTATTATTTCACATTTCTTGAAAAATAAAATTTTTAATAAATGTGCATAAGAAATTTGTTAAGATCCTCATAATGCAGGATCTTTGCAAACGAATTACTGTAGATCGAGGTACGAGTTAAAAATTCATTACCGAACATATCGAATCTGGAGTAAATACTGAGGAAGGTAAAAAGGTTTGAAAAATTTCTAAACTTGCATAAAGAGCTCATCGAATAAAACGAACAAATTGCAGCAAGGAATCAGCTCATACGGCACTACTGCGATGATGCTCGCATTTCGAGTCTTATTTATAGAATTTCAGCGTTGGTTAGGCCTTCTAAAATTTTTTTGCGTTTTCATTGAGAAAAGGCAAAAGTTGTAAAAGAATGAAAGAAATACAACTGGATGTTCACTTGACAGACAAATGAAAAATCAAACAACAGGTTTAGAAACAGCAGAAATTATAGGGTTTTCTAATAAGAACTGGCTAAAACATAGATTAAAGATGCACAAAATTGTTGCTTGCTTAGATTAATGACGTAAAAGATAAATAAAATCGAAAAAGAGACAAATTACTAATTACTCCGAAATTAATTCTTCAGTTTTTTGGTGGTCAATATTCTCATTTTTAGCGAGAGCTTACATGAAGATAAGATTTGAGGCCAGCACCAGCAGAATTTTTCATTTACAGGCTTATATCACTGAAAATTTTTGCATAAAATTGTAATACGAATTAATAATTCCATTCTAATTTGGCTACAACGAAAAAAAGAAACCAATTAATCATAATCTCAAAATATTTCTATTTATTTATTTAAGGAGAGCAGAATTGGATGGCAGTGAAAAAATAAAATAAACAATTAGATAAAAGGTATGTAAGCCAAGACAGTGGTAAAAATTAAAACTAAAATGGGACAAATCGTTATTTCAATTGTTCAGTTAATTTCTATAACATAGTTTTGATTTGCTTTGACGAGCATCCATTTGAAGTTCTTATTTTACAATGATTAGAAATTCATATATGCTTATATCAGTATTTCGGATTATCTGAACTTCTCATTAGGAGGTTCATTTCTTTTCGATTAGTTATTGCATCTTTGCCTGAGAATTTTTTTTTCGTTCAATATTTCCAGTTAAATTCGTTCTGCTGGCTTTTTGAACTGATAAATTTCATAATTATTATAACAACGGTGACAAACCGATAAATTTTGCAAAGTCACTTGACGATAGAATTGCAAGTGGATCGTCAGTTATTGCTGTATCCGTTGGTATAATAATTATGAAATTTTCTAGAGCAAATTTTTAACAAATTATCCTCCATATTATTTGACATCAATAAAATAAACTATTTCAAGTTTGTAACCGTTGAATAACGAAGACTGTGAAAACATACTATGCGTCACTTGCATACATCATTATCGTCATTTGAATATGACATGGAAAATAGCAAATAATAAATTCGTGAAATGGCTTATGAAATTAAAAAATTAAAAAAGGATAAATCACTAATTACAGTCTGCAAAGCCACTGACTAAATTTATCAAAAAATTTATTTAAACATAAAAAGATTTATGCTTTAGAATCCACTGGGAACCAAAAAATTTTAAAAGATCCATATCGGATCGAGATAAAAATTTGACGAAATTGTTATATGCAAATAAGGCATGAAGAATGCACGATTGTTAAAATCGCATAAAATCGCATACATCCGTTTTCGCATAAGTTTGCTCTACTAATTTGCGCCAAATTGTAAGAAATCTGGATTTTATAGTTTCAATAAATCGAGAGAATTGAATCATTTCAATGAAAATTTTTAAAATTTTTAAAAAAAAATTTTAAAAAAATTTTTATTTATCAGTGCTATCATGGGCTATAAGTTTGAAATGTTCCTTTCAACTCAACATATTTCTTGATTTTGCCCTTACGATGATGGAAAATTGCATATGGTTTGTCATATCTGAACTGCATTAAATTGTTTTTTTTTAAATTTTCCCACCTATTCATTTATCTTGATACTTTTCAAGTTTCGAAAATTTTTCACCCTGACAGATTGAAAAATTGGTAAACTATCTGAAGTTTATCAAATGCTATGAAGTAGAAAATGCGCTGCGAAGGTGTGGTTGGCACTCACCAATTCAAGTTGGGCTTGCAGAAGGCAGACAATGATCTGTGCAACAAATACTCTGCCACAAGGAAGTGGATTCATTTCAATATAAAATAATAAGATTTTGAACCATATGTTTAATTGGATTACCCTTGCAATAAGGACTGCTAAAGAAAAAGCAATTTTCTTCTTTTCTTTCATTAAATCACTGAGAATTTCTTCTAAGGCTTGAAGGTCACTAAAAATCTGCATTCTACTAATTAGATGCCATTAAAGTGAAATTAAATTGAAATGAATTTACAAAGTAGCAATGATTGGAAAATCTCCTTCTTTGACTTTTTAAATTTGTCGAGCGACCATTTAAAAAAGATTTTACAAATAAACATATGAAACATATGAAAATAATAATGAATCTAAGCACTCTTGTATAGTTTTAATTCATTTTAGAATTGGAAATTTAGCGAAAGCATCCAAAATTTAGCACCGTTAATTTTAAAATTATTTCTCAACATTGAAAACCTTACTTTGAGAAAATTGCTATTTTGAATGATTGTTGCCTTTTTTATAAATTATCGTTAAAATCGCCGACTTTATAATTATTATCACTTTTTTCTATTTTACGATTCAGCAAGCACTTTTGAAATTTTTTCTCGTTTGTGGCGTATTTATTAACAATTGAACATTGATGAAGCATAAATCTTTTATATCTAATAAATTTATAAATTTAAAATTCGTTTTTCTTTGGTCTTTTTTTTAAGTTAGCATTAGTTACATCTTATTTCACCCTTCTTTTTTCATTTCATTGTCGAGCTAATCATTTCATGATAATTTCGCGTAATTTTGAACACCCACGGACCCGCCAATACTTTTGTTTTCAAGCGATTTTCCAGAACACTTCTAAGTGAGCGTAAGTATTTAGAAATGGTGAATGCTGAAAAGGATAGAAGCAGGAAAAAAATTTTTTAAATGCTATTTTGAATGGGTTTATTCATTTTTTTTAGCTCATTTTATTCAAAAGATGAATAACATAAATTTTTTTTTTCCACCCGTACTTTCAAAATATTTGTTGTATATCACTGAGGTTAATGTTTATTATATATCATATACATTAATTCTCTGATTATATTATCACGCTAAAAATTCATAATTGAGAATATGAAAACAAAAATTCCGTTTTGTCATTCTTTTTTAATCTAGTCTAGCGTTTGGCCAGCTTTAGTGGCTAAGACTTGTAAGACTTCTTTTTCAATTATCTGGTAGAAAGTGCAGCTGAGGTCCTAAAACCATTCCGACTTTTAATGGCTGCCATCAAGAAATGATAATCAAGCCTTTGACAGTTTTACTTTAGCCAAATAGCTAAATAGCACGATTATCTTATCCCTAAAATATACTGGAATCTTTAATAAAATACTATAATATTTGATAATTTTAAAACAAATTTATTATTAATCATCTTATTTCAGAACAATAACTTTTAATAACTTTAGAACGTTTTTGCTTTCCAGTTTTTTAATATTCTCAGATCATTAACTAGTTTATTTTTTTTATTGCTTTATATCATAGTTTTCATATTAAAAATATCGTTAGACCATTCAATTAGTAAAAAAAAGTCAAGTAAATTATAAAGGTTTTCCTTCTGAACTTAAAGAAAATATTTTATCACATAAATTAACAGTTTTTCGATATAATTTCTATGAAGCGATGATCAAAACGATAATTCGCCAATATTATTGGGAAACTTATTCTTCGAAAAAACACAAAAATATTAGCAAATCCACATCTGCTACAATAAGCAAAGTACTGCTCTTTAATAATGTCAGACTTTTAAGAAATGCTTTATTTTTTTGCTGGCTAATCTGATTATCACATTTTTGATTCAAACGAATATAAGACCCGACTCAATTTTCTTCAAATTCAAATTTTTCCCAATTTCATTGATTTATTTTTGAAATTCTTTCAGTTGTAAAATTTGATTTCCCGTTGAACAAAAAATAAAAA